ATCTCAGTAAATAATTTCCAAGAAATGATATTAAAAAATACCAGAATTTCAGAGTTGAATAAAAACAAAAAAGAGTTAATTTTATTAAAAAAATGTCTTAGTCATGGCTTTCTCAAAGAAATTGCAACACAGGTGTCAATAAAAAATAATACCGACTCCTTACCGAGAAAAGAACAAAAAAAATGTAAAATGGGATTAAAATTAAAGCCGAAATTGGTTCACGATCAATGGGAGGAAATTCGGTTGATAGCCGTGGCAAACGTATCATCACCGTGCGAGCTGTATTTGTACATACACGTGATTCGGTAATTACCTATATATGCATATATTTATGGCTTATGAGCTCTGGTGGTATCGGTACAACCAAAGCAGGTTTCCAGGACGATCCGATTCGGAGAAAACGAATAATCAGACTAATTTTAAACCCATTGCGCTTATTTATTCATTAAATAAATGTGCCATTGTGTATTACAAGCGACTCTTTTAATTCCCATTATCATTTCATATGTTTATTATTATTGTTAGTGTTATTGTTAACATTTCAATGCCTGCAATTACTAACTGTCATGTTGTCTATTTTAACGGGTCTAGAGTTAATTAAATTTATTTTATGGTATTGTCGCGGTTTTTAATTGAGGGTATTATTAATTGCGCATCCTTAGTTCTTGCAAGGACTTATAAATTTTCTTAAGGTCGTTCGGTACAGATTTTGCAATTTTCAGCTGTGATGCTTATGTGACCAATTAAATAAAATTAATTTAAATAAAACTTTATAAATTTTTACTTGTCAGAAGTTATTTACAATTATTATCAAGGTTTTTTTTAGTTTTGTAGTTCATTATTAAGTCATAAATTTTGATTTTTTTAATAATTATCTTATTAAATAAATATTTAATTATTAAATAAATAATTTATGGATAACTTTTGAACCGATGAAGATAAAAAATTGATCCGAATTTTGTTAAATAGATTAGACACTTAGCTTTAATTTCAATTTTATATTGATGAAGTTTCCATTTCTATAGTTTTTAAGATATAGAGTTTTTAAAGATGATAGCCATCAAAGATTATTGCCGTTGCCTGGAGATGTAAGAACCTGGTAGTAATAAATCGGACACTTGACTTTGCCAAGAGAGAACAAAGCAGGTACTTGGGTGGATCGTAAGGTTGCTGGGAAGGCAAAGTCCAACGGAGAAGGAAAAGGAAAAGGAAAAGGAAAGAAAGGATTGTTTGGTGTCAAGGGTGTGGGATATGGCGGCTTTATTTAGAGTTTTGACGACGCGTCCGCGAATCTCGGCGTTGTCACCTGGGTCGACATTTTTGTGGACAAGAAACTCGGTGTGGGAAAGGACCCCGGACTGTAAACTGAAGGAGGGAAAAAATTGAAGAGCAGCAGCACCCTCCAGGGTATAACTAACAATAAGTGTCGTGCTACGCGCACTGGGTCTCGAGGACGAGATAATGAAGGTACCTGATGGTTAGCGGTCGAGAAATTTGTCGCGCTGCAAGATGCTGGCTCAAAAAATCCAACGTGTTTCCATGACAGTGCTTTACTTTGCAAGTTGAGACTCTGGATTTGATGGTTAAGTGATAAATTTATCGCGACGTTTTTCATTAATCAATTTTTTGAGGGAGTTTCTTGTTATTTTTTATTTCAAGTTATTATTTTCATTATTTTTGAAAATTCATATCTTAGAAACTATAAATGGAAACTTCATCAATATAAAATTGAAATTAAAGCTAAGTGACTAATCTATTCAACAAAATTTAGACCATTTTTTTATCTTTAATGGTTCAAAAGTTATGAAAATTTAAACATTTATTAGGAATTTCCAAAAATTCACAATTATATTTCAGTACGATCACTTTTCAAACTCTGATATTTCAAAAACTATCCCTCGAAAGTTTATGATCACAAAAATGAAATTGACGGGTAAAAATTAATCTATTCAACAAAGTTTGGACTAAATTTTTATTATGAATGGCTCAAAAGTTACAACCATTTGAACACTAATAATGAGTTTCCAAAAATTTATCATTATTTTTTCGACAAACTATTTTAAAAAAATATTTATCTTGGAAGCTATTGGTCGAAAGTTGATGATCATAATAATGAAATTAAAGCTAAAAGACTAATCTATCGAAAAAAATGTACATCAATTTTTTATCTTCAATGGTTCAAAAGTTATGTTCATGTGAAGATTAATAATGAGTTACCAAAAATTCATAATAATCTTTCAATACTATCACTTTTCAAAATCTGATAATTCAAAAACTATCGTTCGAAAGTTGATAATCACAAAAATGAAATTGAAGGGTAAAAACTAATCTACCCAAAAAAATTTGGACCAAATTTTTATCTTGAATGGTTCAAAAGTTACAACTATTTGAACATTAATAATGTTTCCAAAAATTTATCATTATGTTTTAGACAAACTATTTTAAAAAAATATCTATATTAGAAACTATTGATCGAAAGTTGATGATCATAGTAATGAAATTAAAGCTAAAAGACTAATCTACCGAAAAAAATTTATATTAATTTTTTATCTACATTGGTTCAAAAGTTACAGCCATTTAAACATTAATAATGAGTTTCCAAAAATTCAGCTCTACAATTTCGACACTTTTCAAAATTTTATATCTCTAAAATTATAAATCCAAAAAATTTTTTTAAATCATGAAATAGTCGATCAAAACACTTAAACTTTCCACAAAAATTTTTCTCCAACATTTATCAACTTCTATGTCCAAAATATCAAAATTGAGAGTATGAAAGTGGTCGTACTTACAAATAACTACCTTAACACAAATATAAATATAAATATGATAAAATAAATGAGTACTTTCACGCATCGACCTACGCAATAAGAGCACTTGTTCCTCGTTAAGTTAACTCAGTCTCGAATTGCGGCTCGGGCAGAAGAAGCTGAAGTTAAAGATGAAGATGAAGAAGAGACGAGAGTAGAGACTTGATACCTGTTTGGAGTTTGGTGTTTGGTTCTGGAGCATATTTCAGTGGATAGGGATAGGAGCAGAGAACAGAAGACGTCCGAGAACGTGTTGCTACCACGGGCTCAGCATCTCTGTTCTCTGGTTCGCATCAACCATCAACCATCAACTGGTACGGCAACCGGTAGAGTGAGGAGAGGAGCGATATAGGGAGCAAAGAGCAGATACAAGAGTCAGGCAAGACGGGTGCTTTGTATACTAAGATATATATGTGTGTATGGAAGCTTATGTGTGTGAAGGGAAGAAAGAAGGGAGGAGAGCGCGAGCCAGTATACAACATACACAACATACAACATATATCGAAGATGCGCGGTGGATCGCACGCGATGCGCCCCGCGGGCAACTTAAGGTGGGGGATCAGGCGGTGGTACGGCGCGCGCCAGAGTCTAAGGAAGGGAGAGGCTCGCGTCTTATACTTCCCCTCACACACGCGTTCCTTCACCCCCCTTATTTTTCTTTTTAACTCTCTAAGCTTCTTCTTGCTCTTAATCTTTAAATTTTTTCACTTTTTTTAGTCAAGTTTATTTTTTTCTTATGAAAATTTTCAAATTTTCTTTAAAATTTATATTGAATATTTAGGAAAATTTTTTAAAAATTTTTAGTTCCAAGTTTTTGATAGAAAAATAGCCAAAAATTTTGGGGAAATTTTTTACGGTAAAAATAATTAAAAACTGAAACAAATTTTTTAATAAAATTTTTTTTTGATTAAATTTTGCAATAAAAAATTAAAATATAATTTTTGCTACAAATTTTTTAATAAGAAAATAAAAAAAAGAAAGTTTAAAGATTAAATTTTTCAGTAAAAAAGCATGAAAAAATTTTTTTTTGATTAAATTTTGCAATAAAAAATTAAAATAAAATTTTTGGTACAAATTTTTTTATAAGAAAATCAAAAAATAAAAATTAAAAAAATTTATAGATTAAATTTTTCAGTAAAAAAGCATGAAAAATTTTTTTTTCAATTGAATTTTAAGAAATAAAACTACCAAAAATTAGAAAATAATTTTCTTCATAATTTTTATCGATAAAAAATGATATTTTTCAATTATTTAATATTTGAAATGCCAAAAATTGTAATTAAATTCAAATAATTCAACAATCCTATTTTTAATAAATTTCTAAAAGTTAAAATTAATACCAATTTTACCAATTATTTAAAAAAAAAACCCAAATTCAAAACTTATGACTTCAAAAACAATTAAAAAAATTCTATCTAACATTCCTAGTATCAAAATGGAACCAAAAATTGACAATTTTCCAAACAATATTAAATCCCTTACAATTCCAGCAAAACTCCGAAATAATTCTCGAAATAAAAGCAAAGAGGGGAGTCCCTAAGCCTTCTCTGGACGCATCGTCCGAAGTAAGGTGGGAGGCTACTTTTCGTACTCGGAAGGTCCTGGTGGGGCGGAGGGCCCTACGCGGGGCCTGGGTGGGGATGCGGCGCGTGCCCAGGCAGCCTATAAAACCCGGCGGTACCCTCTTCGGCCGACATTTCGGGAGCTGCTTTCGTTGCGTAGGCATCGAGGGTGCATTCGGTAGTAACTATAACTTCGATTATATCGTAACATATCGTGCAGTTAATCACTAACCGTTTAACACTTATCATTTAACAATAACATTGATCATTATAATCTTGCGTACCAAGTTCGGTAATTGAAAGTTTGAATTTTCCGAAATTCTCAAAGTTTTTCCAAGTGCCGCGACTCAAAAAAAGTACATTGGTGTTTTGTGATATGACATTAGTGGGAAACGACGAGAACACATCGCCCATAATGTTGACCATGCAGCACCATCAGCAGCACCACGCTCACACTCTGCAGCACCATCATCAACACCAACAACACAATCACAGTCATTCAAATAACAGTTTGACCAGCAACAGCGTGAATCTCCAGACCCACCGGAGCAACGTGATTGTTTCAACCGGAGGATTGTCCTCGGGTTCCAACGAGCTCAAGGCCCAGAGCTGCAAAAGGAGCAACAAGATGTACCAAACTACTCCTTACGGAACAGTTCCACACCAGCCGGCCTCAGTCGCCCGCAGAAACGCCAGGGAACGGAACCGCGTTAAGCAGGTTAACAACGGATTTGCGACTTTAAGGCAGCACATTCCTCAAAGTGTTGCGCAAGCTCTGGGAGGCAACACTGCGGGGACCCACGGCGGCTCCAGGGCTGGAAGCAAAAAACTCTCCAAGGTTGAGACCCTCAGGATGGCTGTTGAGTACATCAGGAGCTTGCAGCGCTTGCTGGATGACCATGATGGCTCTGACATGGGAAGCGCTCTTTCTGGCTCCAGCTCGCCCAGCCCCTCCTCTACCTGCGGCTCCAGGGTCGAACTTCACCAGGACATTCAGGATCTCCATCATCAGCATCTCAGGCAGAATCCCAGTCCTTCGAACTTCATGCTGCCTTGCTCTGAAGCATCCAGCTCGCCTACACCCAGCTTTGTTTCCGAAACTTCTTCTTCGGGAAGTCAAGGATACAGTGCCACTTTTACTACTCTCTATGCGCCGAATACTGATGGGTACAATATTAATTATGAGCCCATGAGTCCGGACGATGAGGAATTGCTGGATGTCATCACCAAGTGGCAGGAAAATCAACAGTGAAATTTTATCAGGTTGGTTTCTTTTTATATTTGTTTTGATTATTGACGTGTGACTTTTCATCATTTTCGGAAAATTTTTACAACTGCATTTTTTCTTTTTTAATTTTAATCTATACAGAATTTTTTAAGTGAAGATTTTTATTTTTAAATTGTCAATTTTTGATAATTTTATGCTCATTTTGACAAGTGTAATTTTTTATAATTTTTTAAAAATCACCTGCAGATTTATATTTTTTTATTTTTTTAATCCTGTCAAAATTTATAAAATTTTCAAATTAATCATTAAAAATTCTTCAAAATAATAAATTTTGTTTTCAATTAACTTAATTAAAATTGAATATTTATTAACAAAAAAAAAATGATCATAAGTCAGCTTAAAAATTCTTTAAAATTTTATTTTCCTAAAAATATTTGAGATATTAAAAATGACAAACAATTTTAATCAATGACACAAAATTTTTCCACAATGAAAATTTTTAAAAAATGTATTATCGTGACAAATGAGTGCGATTGTAAAAATCTTGTTTTTCTGAATGAATGTTCGAATTGTTCGGATCTATACCATACTTTTTTTCTCCATCTTTATCCTCATATACACATATACATATATACACCCATAGAGTATCCCCAGGACAATTTAGTCTCGCGGTGCGTTTAACTTGAATGCCTGAAAGAACGTTCAGGATATACCAGTCGCCTCCCTCCTCTTTGTCGGTTTTTGAACCGGTACGCTATTATTTCTCTCTATCCCTATCCTCTATCTCTTTCCGAAGCTTATATATCATATATATATGTATAAAAACTCCCGCAGTTCTAAACGCAAAGCCCTCCACTACCTGACAACCCCGTCTACCTGCACTTTTAAAATCTCAAATCCAAAGTACAAATCACAGTTTTAAAAAACATCAAATCGATAAAAAATGTGAATTTAAAATTAATAAAAATTTTTATTTTTGTTTTCAGAAATTTGGTACGGGATGTGCAAGGACTGAAATATACGCCTGTGATCTAGTCAATACTCTCTTGGAATCCTGAAAAATTTCACAATTCCTCAATAAGGAACGACAAAATTGTAAATAATCTAAGTGAAAATTTTTAAATTTTTTATAAAATGTAATTTGTAATTTTGTAAATTGTTTTTATTTTATAATTAAGATTTTATGAAAATAAAAGAGTAAGTTTAGTTGGAAAATATTTATAAAAATAGATAGAATTTATATTGTAATAAATTTAAGCCTCGAAGATTGTAAATATTAAAATGTTAAAAATATTTTATATATGATACATTATTTTATTGAATATACAAATATAATGATGGAGTAAAATTTATGTGGTCTTGTTTATTTGAGTATTTAAATTTTATTTGAGTACCTGAGGGCATTAAAATTAACAATTTTCACTTGACTTATGATTTACGATCCTAAACAGATTTAAATATACCGACTTGAAGCTGTTAACGTGTCTGGACAAAGTGTAAAAATTTAAAAATTTAATTACCCTGAGAAATTTATTGTAGGGGGTAAGGCATTAGTTCCAAAGTACAGAGCTGAGTTTTAGGTTAAGACTGAGGATGAGTATTTGAGGCTTAAACTTAAGTCTGAGGACACACGGCAATTACAGCCCGAGGGTTCTATTCGGTATAATGCATAATGGTGAGCGAGTGAAATAAGTAAAGCTTTAATGTCCATAAAGTTGGAATGAGCCTTAGGGATAAGGGCGGTTGCTCAGGCATAATATCCCTCGGAGCTCCGAGGGAGCAAGTTGTATGTAGTTTGTAGTATGGTCAGGTATAACTAATTTTTGGACAAGTGGATCTGGTGAAAAGCAGGACATACCTGTTCGATGTACGCACAAACACCCATTTATAAATTTTACGAACCCTTATTGTTCTACCGGGTATTATGAGTGCTTAAGTTTACTGCCAGCAAGAAAATTGTTATTGGTAATGGTTAATGCTAAGTTCGGTTTTACTCTGTACTTTGTACTTTATAAATGAATTTTTTTTTTTCAATTTCGCCATGCTTCAATTTTTTTGCATGCCAGTTTGTCGCTGGTATTGCTTTACTTTGATTCGGGGTTCGTTGCAATGTTTTTTTAACTTTATTGAAAATTTAATCGTATTTTTTTTTATATATGGAGTATTTTTTTAAATTTGACTTTTTTCGGAAAATATTAGGACTATAACTTTTAGGATTTTTTAAAAAATAAATTAATAAAGAGGAAAATTTATCAAAAAATTTTTGTATGCAATTTTTTGTTATTCGGAAAAAAAATCTTTACACTAAAAAAAAACGCTTCAAATGAAAAACTGGAAAATTACAGTTTTAAATTGTATTTTCTACAATTTTTACAGATTTTGTAAAAATTACATTCTAAAATGTAAATATTACATTTAAAACTATGAAAATTAACATTCAAAGTTTAATTATAAAAATATTATTTCGAACTGTAATTTTTATAGTTTTAAATTTGAAGCGACATTTATTACTATTTATATTGTAATTTTTCCTTTATTCGTTTTCCGTGTAAATATTGAAATTTTTTTATTGAATCAAACGCAGTAAAATATTCAACACTTTTATGTGTAAATTTAACATTTATTCTGTTAAATAAATACAAAAACGTGTTAAATATTTAACATAAAAATTTTTAACGCAAAATTTTTTACTGTAACTAAGAATAAAGGTTATTGATATTGTCATTCTAATACGTCGTCATTCTAATCCCACAAAATTTGACAAACTGTTTTTTTTTTAAATAAAATCATAACAATATTATGCAATTCATATTAAAAATTTAAAGGTCAAATAGTTTAATAACTATTTTTAAATAAATATTTTCATCCATTGAATCCCATTTAATCAATGTTAAAAATTAACTATTTCTACCGTTTGCTGTAAAATTTAAATACGCATTTTGTAATTTATAAATTAATAAAAACTATTTTTTTATTTTTATTAAAAAAATTATATTTATTTTGATCAAGAATTTTTAAATTCAAGTGAAACCCTGGGTATCGCTATTATTTTCTAAAGTATTACTACTAAAGAACATAAATATGCAATGCAAGTAGAAATTACAAGCATCGTTTTCAAACAATCGATGCTTATAATTGATAGACCCTAGGAACTCCGCCGTCCATCTTACGGCATGAAATAAAAAAAGACCCAGCAGTTTATTCTCTACTGACACTATTATTGTTTTTTCTTTACATAATATAATTTTTGACTCTGTTTCAGCATGCATCAAAGCATATGAATAAGTGTAAAAATCTAGTCATTATCTTTAAACCACGAACATGTTGTCATGTTGTCATACCATACTAATTTCATCAGAATATTTTATATTTACTCATGTGCTCTATATTTTATATCACTGTATATTTATCTGTACATATGTGTGATATCGCTTCTTTTGGTCACAAGTATATAAATGTGTGCAATTATTTTTTCTATGACTGGAAATGTAGACATTGTTCTGTATTATGTATTATTTTTTATCAAATAAGTACTTTGTATGAAATGTATATAGTGCTATGGGAAATTCCCAAAAAGCAATAAATAAATAAAATAAAAAAAAAAATTTTTATTAAAAAAAAGTAAAGAATTTACTCTACGAAGTTTTTTAAATTCGTAAGATTAAAATACATAAAATCTACATAGAAAATAAACATAATTTGCCTCAATACAAAAATTTTTCAACTGAATGAAATTTGTTCAAACCAAAAAAAAATTTCTTGATTCAATAATTTTTTTTTTTTCAAATCAATTCAATATTTTTGTCAGTTATTTATAAACGTCACTTCAAAAATAAAGCCTTAAAAAAATTACAGTTCGAACTATTATTTTACAAATTTAATTTTAATTATAAATTTTTCTAATTTCAATTGTAATTTTAAATTAACAAAAATTTTAATTCTTCTATAATTCGTAAAAATTATAATTTTTTAACTTTTTTTTTTTTTTCATTTTTTCCGTCAAGTCTACTATCAAAACATAAAGTTTCAAAGAATAACAACCAGCAGGTCACTGACACCGACCACAACTCGGCTTGACTCAATCGATCGAAAATCCGAGTCTGAAGACATTGACGAATTCGAAATTAAAACTTTTCCATGCATAATCGTTTCCCCGAAGCGCTTTTGGTTTCGGCGTGCCTAATCGCCCTTCAAATAATTAAAATGTCCGATATCTGACAACAAAGCTTGCTTTGAAGGCGCCTCCCCTTCATCATAGATCCGTCGAAGATGTTCCCTCCTTCCCTAACATATCCATTATACACATAAATATGTAACATAACATGTAACACGTCGCCGGTAGCATTGTTCGAGTATCACGCAATCACAAAGTAGTCATTAGTCATTGCCATTACATACATTGTAACAAAGCGAGAATCTCTAATTTGCAGGACCAGAATTCAAAAAATGTATCATTGTATTTTTTTATGTCTATGCAAATTCTCGAAAGATTCTACAACTCCAAATTGGACAATTGTCAAATCTGTAAAGAAAGAAGCTTTCGTACAATTTAGCTCTCATTAAATTAGCCCATTTAAAGTCACGCGATTTAGCGAAGAAGCCACAGCAAACCCATTAACAATTTACCATTAGACAAAATTTTATTTCAAGGCTTGGAATTTATATTTAAAAAGTAAATAGTCAGGGATAGTAATCTCCTCTTGAAGCTTGATCTGTTGAGGTTGAGCCGAGTCCGGTTTAGATTATTGTGGTCGATTCGGAGGGATGTTGGAGCCTCCCCTGGACCGTATTATATTTTTGGGTTTTTTTAAGTCGATGCCGAAGCACGCTAGCTCGCGATTACCGTGCGGTTATTTACTCAAAAACTTCAAGAGGACATTGACAGGGATATAATAACACCCGGGACTACCCGGACTGACGTTACCGGTCATTAACGAATTCTCGCTCTCACAGGTTCTGGATTGGGTGAAGAGGATTGCTAAAAAACAAACCGTCTACAAAAAAGATTTTCCGATTTTTTCCCC